AAAAAAAAAAAAAAGTAGGGACTTAGCCCCACATATGAGATGCTACTGTGATGGAAGCAATGGAGCAGTTGCTGTGAACCAAACAGAGAATGAGAATTGAGCAGAAATCAGAGCTGTCAGTGGTCCAAGGGTCATAAGCCTCTGAATTCACGGTATTCTTCCCAAAGAAGAATACTGGGTATTTGAATAAATCTAATCTGTATATTAAAGGACAATGCATTATATTTCCTTTGAAGGACAGGGTTTCTGGATATGACATATACTGCAAGGCTGGAGATATTCAAGGGTGACAGGACTTTGAAGTTGGGGGAGCAGAGAATGGGAACAACAGGAGAGAGATAAGTAAAGTCATTGAGACAGGAAGAAGGATTGTCTTTAGCAATAAGAATGCCACAACAGTAATCAATATTTATTGCACAGGACAAGGGTGAAGAAAACTGTAATACACCAGAGAATTCTGGTGAGGAAGCACAAACAAGAGTTCTTCAAGGAAAATCTTTAGACAGCATGACCCACCATAGCCCTTAGAGATGCTTCAATAGCCTCTAATTTGTCATGGAGGTAAATCCCCACTCACTGGATGTTGGGAAGAAGATCCAATCATAGGATTTCCTTCAGAGTGGAGCCAGGTATCTTCATATCTCTGAAAAGTAGAGAATCAAGCAGAAGCTGAGACTTTTTCTAAGGGGGAAGAGACCTCAATGGAAGGGCAAGGAGTTACAACTGACTGAGCACTCTGGTCCTGGTTCATTGGAAGGAATGGTCAAATTGACAGGGATGGAGGTTGGGTTGGGAGCAGTGGTCAGGACATTGCCTAGAACCTGATTTTCTACTTTGTAACATGTGGGAATTGTACTTCCCAGAGAATAAAGGGCCTGCCGTGGGAGATCATCTGGACAGAGACATCAGACAAAGAAGAAAGAGAGACATCAGTGCCCTTCTCACCTGCTACTCGGAACTGCTCTTTTGATTCCACCACTGGGAAGTTATCAGTTGGTTCCTTGTGTCTTGTGGTGCTCTCTGAAGTTGGGAAGTAGTGAGAAGAGGAAGATTTTTGCTTCCAGGTCTGCCACCATCTCCCCAGGCCCAAGAGCACAAGCTCCAAAAGAGTAAGCAAGAGACAGAGCCCGCTGACTCCAAACATGGTCTTTAGGAAGATGGTCTTCTCAGAGGGGCGGGACAGGTTACAGGTTATACTACCAAGGCAAGGTTCTCGACGACATGCAAAGGAGCTGGGCATCTTGAACCCATACAGATGGTACTGCCCTCCCAAGGCTGCCCCCTCAAGGACCAGTCGTACCCCCAGCTGGGCCACATAGGCCCAGAGCAACTTGGGGCTTCCAGCCACTGAGGCAACCTTGCTGCCCTCTCCTTGTTGGATCAGGGTCTCCTCTTCCTTCTTCACCTTTCCTGAGTCTTCCCAATGCCAGATGACATGGTACATGGTGAAACCCATATAGAGGGCACTGGGCACAGTCACCAAAATGACTTGGAAGGCCCAGAAGCGCAGTGGGGAGAGGGGATGGAAGGCATCGTAGCATGCAGCCTTGCAGCCTGGCTGCTGAGAGTGACACACAAATTCACTCTGCTCATCACCATAGACCCCTGTCCCACTGGCAGCCAGCAGCACGAGGCGGAATCCCAGGAGCACCGGAAGCAGGAGGCGCCCCACAGGTGTGGAATGCCAGCTGTCCTCAGCCACCAGCCGCCTCAGGAACCGGCCACACATCCTGTTAGGGAGCAGAGGATAATGATGAGTGTAGGTGTGTTGCTCACTGTCCTTTAGAGGGAGCTCTAGGCCACCTCTTCACTCCTAATCCAAGGATGGCTAAGGCAAGCCAGGGATCTGGTTGATGAAATGTTAAGACTTTTTGCAACTATTTGTAGAATTGATGGCATCTATGTAAAATAATAATAGTGAGTGTTTGTGGTTATGACTCTCTCTTCTGTCCCCCTCTGTTCTGCTGGAGCAAAGAGGAGCTCCATTGTTGGGCGGAGACCAGGGTCTGTCTTTTTCTCTCTTTCCCTCCCTCCTTCTTACCCTAAGTAGGTTAAATAGTAAGAGACCACTGTCCTCTGAGAACTGTTGTTTCCACCGGTGATGGCCGCCAGGTCTGGTACTACTGCCAGCATCATCTGAATGAAATCATTGCTGACCCTCGGGGGAATGTGCATTCTCCTGCCATCTGCTTTTCTCTGACTTCATGCCCTCGGATGCTCACAGGAGTGTCGGGCTGGCCTTTGCTCCCATGATAGGGTAAAACTGAGATGCAGTTAGGTTAGGGGGCTTCATGGGAATCAAGAGAAGAGAGTGAGTGTCAAGGCTTGCTTTAGTCTAATGTTTTTTAGACCTAACCAGCTTAGGAAAAGGAGAATATTTTTAAGAAAACCCAGAAGAAACTACTAGTTAAATGTAATGGGATTTGGGGTCAAAGCCAGAACTGACTGGATAAAAATTCAACATTTGACTCCTTCATTGTTGTTCCTTGGGCTCATATCTCCCTCACAGTGAGAGGTGACCATAGTCAGGAACAGATTTCAGAAATTCCTCAGTTCTCTGAATAAATATCATCATACTACAAGCCCAATTTGCCATTTCTATCTGTGTCCTAATCAGCAGCCTTCCTCAATGCCCAGCTGCTGTTTCTAACTATCCCCATTTAGCCCAAACTCTTATACACCTATTTCCCCTCACTCTCAGAAGACCATGCAAACCTCTTACTCCACAGAGATAATAGAGACTCTGATGTGAAACCTTCCAGCTACTACTTATCCTCATAGTCATTTCCTTCTATAGCATCTTAGAGAAAGAAGTGGCCCTACACTTGTCCAGCGCTATTCTCCCTTCCAAATCTGTTTCCTTGGGTCTCTCTTTTCCAGCGTCTTCAAGGATTTGATCCCCAAATTATCTTTCCTGTAATTCAGATCACTCTTATTTCCTCTTTGACTATGAACTTGCTTAGGCTTCTCCCTTTTAACTCTAATAACAATAACCTGGATTTCTAAGTTAATATAGTAGTAGCAAAAGAGACATGCCTGATTTGTCTTGTATCAGCTTCCCAATTAAAATACCCACAAAGATGCACAAAACAATTTGAAACAGGCACTAATATCATAAACTATAGATAAAAACAAGCTATATGCCAAAACTTAAACAGAAATGGCCACTTCTGTGCAATTGGAAGGGATGGATTGAGATGCTTCCAAGGATTTCAGTTGACCAGAGAAATATGTCCCCACCCCCCAACTGTGAGCCACTAGGAATCAAGAGTTTGAACCTCTACCTGTTTCTAAGTCCCTGTCTTTCTACCTCCATCATAGATTATGAAGACTCAGAAGTCTATCAGGCTGCTGAAAATTCTTTTCATAAAATTGGGTTAAAATTTTTAGAATAAACCTATTTTCAGTGTCTAGAAAGATACAAAATTGTTCTCATGATTAAAGATGGCAATTGAAGATGGAGATTTATTCCTTCATTCCCAAAACTCCTCAAAAATGACAGTAAATAGATCTTTAAATGTATAAGCCCACTGCAAACAGAGTAGGAGAAAGATCCTCAGTAGCAAAACTAAAATGCATTTTGAAGGCAATTTTACAAATTCTGAGGAAAATCAAATTGGAGTGCTGAAAGCACATTGGGTAGTTCTTCCAGAATTCAGGGGGAAAAGGTGAATAATTGAAAATAATAAAAGGTAAATAGATAAGGAAACAAAATCTGTTTCCTAATTTGAAAATCAAGGCAACAATAAAACAAAATCTCTAGCTTACTTATTGGATAAAAAAGCATTTGAAGTACGTGGCAAAAATAAAAAAGCAGTTTCTTAACCAATGTTTAGCGAAATTTTGTTTGGAGAAATATTGAGCTCCATAGAGGACCTAAAGGAAGGTCAAATTTCAATGCTGGACCTTGGCATCAATCACAGTTAGAACCTGATAATTCTTGTTTGGGGACGGGGGGGATGCTGTCCTGTGCATTGTAAGATGTTTAGCAGCATCCTAACCTATATCCACTAGTTGCCAGTAGCACACTTCTCTCCTCCCACCCACAAAAGTCTCTAGACATTTCTAAAAAAAAGGATCAAACTCATCCTGGTTGAGAACCACTGCTTTAGGGTAGCACTGGTCCATCACCTCCAATCTTGGCTTCAGTTAATTATCAGCTCTGTAAAACAAGACGTCTGTACCAGAGCAAGTCAAAGGGCTTTTATTGAGTGGGCCGTTATAACCTGCCCACTTCCAGGCTGATTGCATATCATCTCTCAACCAGCCCCATTTGTGAAAATGCCTGCAGCCCCCCCCCCTGCCTCATAAGTCTAGGGGGTCCCTGTGCTTAGGGGAGGCAGCCCCAGGGCTCTGAAAGTTTCTGTCCTGGTTCTCCTGGAGAGTTACTAGACTAGAAGCTAATTTGGTAAATTGTAAAGTCTTGCTCTTAGCCTCTTCATTTCAAAGTGCAGGTCTAACACCCTCTAAAGACATTTCCAGCAGAATGGAATTTAACACAGAGCAGGCCTGGCATATTCTATTGTAAGTGTTGGGATTTTGAGTAGTTTCCAGAGGCCCTGTCTCTGATTCTTCTCTCTCTGTCTTGTGCCCACCTCAGGCTCATAGCCAGACACCCAAATGTCCTCTAAGAGGCTCTAGGAACGAACGGAAGTCTACAGAGCTCACCACAGAGCTTTTGGTGGTATGGAAGGGAGAGCAGGAAAAGCAGGAAAAGAGGACTTGCCTGAGAAGCCAGTGGTTTAGAGCCCCATACCTAATTCTGAGTCCCCTTCCGTGTCCTTTGCCCCACGGCTATTATCACCAAAACAATGCTTATTCCACACACATTCTGGGGTCTCATGTTCAGACAAAATTGTGCTCCATCTCCCAAAGTCTTCAGATCAAAGGGAGTTTCCTATGCAGCTGGAGCCTAAACACAGCCCTCCCTCCTCCCTCATCCCCTGCCTTCCTGGGGCCCTGTGGTCCCCCACTACTGGATCTCTTCCAGCCATCCCTGGCCCACCTGTCTCATTCTCTGGGCCCCTCATCCTCCTCCACAAACATGTGTGCAGCTTTGCCCACAGGAGCCAGAGCTCCCAGGCCGAACTTCAGGAACTAGGGCGCTGAGGGTTCAGCATTGCGGACAAAACTCCACTCAAGGAACACCACTCTGTCTCTAGGAGTGGAGAAGCAGTTTGCAAATGAATCTATTTGAGAGAAAGTTGGTATGATCTGAGCCCTGTCAAGATTTTATTCGGTGGAACAATACTTGTGAGCTCAAGAGTTGGGGGAGGGGGTGAAGCCCAGAGTTTGAAGGGATTTTCAAAAAAGTATAACTATTGCACTGTGTTGTACACCTGAAACTAATTTTAAAAAATTAAAATAATTTTTTAAAACTCCATCATGATTTTGGTAAGAATTTTTCTAAGCATCTCTATTCTTTTGGAGAAAATTTTCAGGATTCAATTGGAGGCAGAATCCATCTCAGACAGTTAAGGTGTGAGGGAGGGATGTCCACTGAGGACAGTGCTGGACCCAAGTCACTGCTCTCATCTCACCCCACCAGGCCTGGAAAACGTTCTAGATTTTTTTACTCAAAGTGTGGTCCATGTGCAGCCGCACTGGCATCACTAGGTATGCAGACTCTTAAGCCACATTTCCAGCTTAGCAAATCAAATCCGAATTTTAATAATATCCCAGGTCATTTGTGTGTGATTCAGAGTTGGAGAAGGTGGTCTAGAGCCCCGGGCAACCCCCACCATCACTGCCCTCTGGTCCTGTGCCAGCCCAGCTGCTTCTGCCCCAGCATGAGCACTCACCTAGCAGCTTTGAGCAGAAGCACCAACAACAGGAGAAGGAGGCAGAGAGAAGCGTCCTCAGGCTGGAGCCCACAGGGTCCCAGCCAGCTGTCCCCCAGGCCCTGCCTGCCTCCTGCCACCGCCCACTTCTCCCCCTCCCCTTTTCATTCCTGGCAGCCTTAGTGAAGGATAAAAGAATTGCAGCTGGAGGAATAGGCAGCCCTGCTGTTAAAGAATGGGCTGTGGAAAATAACCTTCTGTTGTTGAGGGTAAGGGGAATGTCTCCAAAGTGAGCTGAAACAGGGATTTTCAGATCATCTGAAAGAGGGCAATAGCTTCAGCATGTTTCCAACATGCCGGCTTGCTGGCAACCACACATAGAGTTCAATATTCTTTCTGCAACGTTTATCTCAGGAAGTCCTCTCCTCTTGGCTGGGAGAAATAGCACAGACTTCCCCCCCCACAGCACTGTGGGCATCTGTTCCATGTCTCTTCAGCAACTCAGAGAGCCCAGCTCCTCTCTACCAGGCACAGTGAGAACTACGACACCTGCCCCCATATCCATTCCTGCCCCCATGCTAGAGCCAGGATCCCCTCCAAAGATATGATGAAGGATGGGGAGGGTCAAGGCTGGACGAGCAGGTGGGTGGCTGGGTGGCTGGGAAAGTAACTGAGTACAAGAGTGCGGAGTGAGGGATCTGTTTACTCTATTGCCTGCAATAGCTCTCTTTTGCACTCATCAAGGAGGAAAGTTGGAAGAAACCTCCGTTCCAGATTCTGCCTCTGTGGATATTTGGGGCATCATTCCACACTTTTCTAGCATTTAATATTGTTATGGAGAAGTATAAGTCCAGCTGGATAGTCTTCACCTTCTAAGGGATTTGATCTTTTTGACAGTTTGCCAAATGAATTCTTTTTTTTTTTTTTTACCTTTGAAATCTGTTCACTCCTCAAAGAGATTCTATTAAACACAACATAAGATAACCTCCCACTGGCTGTCTCCTGGACATGTTCACATCTGGTCCACAGGAAGTAGTTACGCAGCCTTAAGGCCAACAAACTCTGGGCATGCAGGCCAATTCCAATGCAGCCAAGTCTCCTTCCATTCATCTGCTGGATAGCCTATCTCTTGCCTTTTTTATTTATCAGCCAGGAGTCAATAGACACATTGGAGCCCCTTTCACTAGGCTTGAGATGCAGGAGGCAGCACCCTCATCCCCTTCTCTGAGGGAGAACTAACAGCACATCTCTTTCCAAAAATATTCTCCCTCCCAAATTAATCCCCTCCCCCTATAATTTCCAACTACTCTGCCATTTTATACAACTTTGATGTGGGTGTTTGTTTTTCCTTTGAAATATTTCATCTCTGACTAAAATATAACTTTGTAATATCATATGTGTTGTGTATTCTAAAACATTACATCTCAAAATCCCTGTCAAAATTTCCAATTTAATATTTTGTTACACTAACATTTATTCAGTGCTTAATAAATGATGGATATTCTAAGTGTTCTGTGACTGTTAACTCACTTATCCCTTATAACTTTACGATGTAAGTACTATTATTATCCTCTTCTACAGAGGAGAGAAATGAAGATTAGAGAAGTTAAAAAACTTATTCAAAGTCAACCAGCTAGTGAGTAGAGAAGTTGGGATTTGTACAAGCAATCTGGCTGCACATGGCAAACTCTAAACACTACTATACTGTTAGCTTCCCCATTATCCAAATTACTAGTCTTTAAAGAGCTTTTGGTTGTAAACCCATTGTAATTTCATACCCTCAAGAAAATAAAAATCCTATGTTTACATGTTCCCCATTTTAACGACTAACTTCACTCTCCACCCTGGATCCCAACCAAAAACATTGGTGTCATAACTGACACCTTCTTCACTGACCACATCTCGTCAATCTACCAGTTGTACAGATTCTGTCCCTTGAATTTACATATAGAATGTGCCTTAGTTCAAGACTGAATTAATGAGACATCATCCTAGTGTCTCTGCTTCTATGCTTGTCCACCTGTAACACATTCTCTGCATCGCAGAAAGAATATTTAACTCAATTCTTATTTAGATTTACCAACTTGTTTACCAGTTTCTATGCTCAGTGCTGCTTCTTGATACCTTCTAGGTTAAATTTTATTTTTTAATTATTTTTTAACACTCAAATAATTTTTTTATGTGTTCAGCAGTGTTAAGTATATTCACATCATTTTACAGCAGATCTCCACAACTCTTTCATATCGCAAAACTGAAACTTTGTACCAATTTCTCCCTCCACTTAGCCCCTGGAAACCACAATTCTACTTTCTGTTTCTATGGATTTGACTGCTTTAGATACCTCATATCAGTGGAATCATACAGCATTTGTCTTTTTGTGACTGGCTTATTTTACTTAACATAATGTCTTCAAGGTTCATCCATGTTGTAGCATCTGTCAGAACTTTATTTCTTTTTAAGATCAAATAAAATTCCATCATATGCACATATGTATGCACCACATTTTGTTTATTCACTCATCTATTGATGGATATTTAGGTTGCTTTCATCTCTTGGTTATTGTGAAAAATGCTGTGAACATGGGTGCCCTAATTTTTCTGCTTCTTGGAGTACAACCTTCAGTAGTTCCTCCACTAGGGAACTTGTTAGGGGTAAAATTTCTTGATCCTCTTTGGTCTTAAAATGATTTTATTTTATCCTTAATCTTGAATTGTTATTTAGTTTGGCAAATGACTCTAGGTTGACAGTTATTTTTCCTTATGACTTTAAAGATATTACTTAATTGCCTTCTACCATGTAGTAGATTTATAAGTCTGATTTACAATCCTTTATGCAATTGCCAGCAGGCTCTAAGAAAATTGTTATAAATATAGTTAATAAAATCATTGAGTATATATTTGCAAATACTACAAATCATCACCAGTTTGTTGAGCTGCTGAAAAAATAGAGGACAATTAATTTAATGATCTATTGTTCTTTACCAATGCTTGTTGGTTGAGTTATGGAAAAGTTTTGCTAAGATTTACTGTATTGATAACCCCAATGCAAGATTTCTTGAAGCAAAAGAAATGCTTACTAAGTGTTCAATAATCAAGACCCCCTAAAATGGCAGTGTGATTTACGATCCCTCACTGATATCATACTGTAGATGAACAAACTAAATTTGAAGCTGCAAGGAAAAGAAGAACTTATTTGTGAACTAGCCAGACAAATGTGAGAATTAACATTGAAATGTAAACTTTTTTTTTTAAGATTTTATTGGGGAATTGGGGGAGGTGAAGAGCGTTGGGGAATCTGGGAAGGGGAACAGGGGAACAGACAAGTTGCTGTCCTTTTGTTCTTCAGTTTAGTTGTGGAGGACGTCGCTTCACTGGCCCTTGTTGGTATTATCATTGCACTCTTCCCAGGTAAGGCAGATCAGTTGCCAGCCACTGGACGGCCGCTCACAGCAGCTCTTGGCAGCTCACACTGGCTGCTGGCTGCCAGCTGCTCACGCCAGCTGCCAGCCACTGACGGTAGCTTCACTGCAGCCCACTGCAGCCCACACCATTGCCGGGGACTCACGGCAGCCCAGCTCCAGGTCCAGCTGTTGTTCACCATCTTACCTGTAGAGGGAGCAGTGTCGCTGGCCCTAATGTGAGATCTGAACCCGGGTCCTGCTGCTCAGAGCTGGCGTCCCAAGCCAGCTCTTAACCAACGTGCCACTCAGCCGGCCCAAAATGTAAACTTTTTGAAAAACAAATAAGTAATGATTTTACACAATGTCCTAACATTAAATCAGTATGCACATTAATCAGATCAATAGCTATTTACCATATAACTAAGTCTATGTTATATTACTCTACTAAACATACTACATCTGGCCCAGTGGCTAAACAGTGGGGGTCCTACTTGGTTAATTCTTCAGTAGTCCATCTGCCATGTTCCATTCTGTTTTGCAGAGCTCAGCCTGGTGAATTAAATGGAGACATGATGGAGGCCACTGCCATGCATTCCTTAATTATTTGAGAATGGCACTGATTTTTGCCATTTCTCCTGTGGTGCCATATTGTTTTCTATTTACTCTCTTGGCCTATTTAAGGGCAGGGGGAAGCTCACTTGCCCTTTGCTATATAACTTTACTCCAGTGGTCAAGGAATCTGTGTGGGATTCAACCATCTGCTAAGTTTATTCATTCTGACTATACATTTTAAAGTATGGGAAATGAATACCAGATGAGTGTGTAGAGCCAGTGAATATAAGATGTAGCTGTGAGAGGGAGCTGGGACAGGGTTTCATTTATTACCAAACCTCTACATGCGCTATGAGGAGCTTTGGATCCTCTGGGTTCTCAGTGAAAGCTCAAATCATGTACGAAACTGTCCTCAAAATGTTCTCAGTATTACCCTTCCCCATAGTTGGTTATTTCTGTAAATGGCTATTGGTTAATTTGGGAAAGAACTCCGGGAATCACTATTGCAAGCACCTCACATCGTGTTGTGAGTACTTCCACATGGAGACCCAACCCTGCAATCTATGGGTTCTCAGTCTAACTTACTTTAAAACTAGCCAGCAGTTTTCCTTGGAAACTGAGAGCTCTGACCCCACCATTCAGTGCTATGCAGATGGTCCAGCCAGAGTGACCAAAGTCCAAAGTGGGGGTGGAAAGTAGGGGGGTACACAGGGCCCAGGGAATAGAGATACTGTTCAAAGTTGCATAAATTTCTCCTGATTCTTCAATGGCTCCATTTATAAATGTCTACAGTGCCCGGGTCAGTGTGGGTATCAGGGGAGGAGGCTATGGTTGGTGCTGGGGTCTGGGGAGGAGAGGGTTTCTGCCTAATTATTCCTAAACTTGTGACAAGACCCTAAAGCACCAAGACAAACTTCTCTTTCACAATAAGTTTCTGAGGATTGGTGCCAGGAAAGAAGTCCCCAATGGGTAAAGAGAACTCTCATCCCACTTCTTTATTCCACCAGACAATGCCCTCTTTGTCCCTCTTCTTCCCACCAGATGAGACCAGCCTCCTCCCACAGCTATATGTTGATGATACGTGCCAAGACCTGGAGCAGCAGGGCACCCAGGGTGCAGGGATCACCCAAGGTTAGGGAGTGGAAA